GTCACACGATTCTCCACCTTCAAAGTCATTGATGGGTTTGATACTTCGCATACGCGATTCACATGAAGGAGGAATCGGAACAGTCAGATTTCGAGATACTCGGTCTAAGAGTGCCATGAAAATACACTTTTCGACACGCGTACGTTTTGGGAAATCTCCCCGACTGCCGAAATCGATATTCCGATTGCAGGAACACTCGGAAAACGATTTTTCCAACGCGCATAAAAATTCATGCCGTCATCGGGAACGGTACGAGCGGCACGTAACGGCGATCGACGGATTCCGATCAGCGTCGAGTCCTCGTACTCTTCATGGCGCACGTACGCGCCGTTCGATCGTTTATTTCCGTTTCGCGCGACCAGCGGATTCGACGGCGGAACGAGACTCGAGATAATCTTGCTTCGAAACTCCCGCACAATTCCGTCAGCTAAACTCATTTTTCAACAGCGCTGCCGCTCGTCCGGGTCTTCCGACGGAAGTCACCGTTCATATCCAGCCGGCTTAGCGCTTCCTAGCTAGACTTTCCCAAGCAACAGCCGACAGATAGCGGGAAGAAGATGAAGGGTAGAAGAGAAAGAGAGAGAGAGAGAGAGAGAGAGAGAGAGAGGGAGAGGAGAGAATGAGGCGCAGTGAGGAGTTGCACGAAAACACGGCGGAGGACCGGCGTGTTGTTGGCGAAGAGGAAGAGGAGTCACGACGCGGCTATAAATACACGCGCCACCTGCAGCTAACGTTCACCGGCTAACGTACAGACCGGAGACCAAGAGAGAGAAAGAGTGAGATAGAGACAGACAGACAGAGAGAGAGAGAGAGAGAGAGAGAGAGAGAGAGAGAGAGAGAAGCGCGTTTCGTTGCCAGACTGTAACGCGAAAGCGTGTACGGAAGTGGCTGTCGCGCGCGTATCTCAACGCTGCGACAACTAAAAGAGTTGGGTCCGCATTCGACACATGATTCACTCTAATTTCGCTTTTTCGGATATCTCCCCGAACTACGATACTAGTCATAAGCTGCAGAAAAATTCTGCCATTAGTGATCAAAATCTCGGAAATGGAAAAATGAAAAATGTGTGTTAATTAACGCATTTAAGTATGTTTTTTCAAAAACGTAGTAAAATCCAATTTTTTATTGCTCTAATACTTCATTAAATACTTAATTCTAACGAAACTACCAAGAATTATCATAGCAAACTGTCACTATGAGGATGAAGTAGAAGCTAGAATATGAAATATCTATTATGTTTTAGTCATAATATTATTCTTTCATCCTCTGGCGAGGTTTGCACTTTCAACGTAGACTTATTTTTACGCGAAGAGAAAAAAAGAGAAAGAAAAAAAGAGAAAGAGACAGACACGTCTTGATGTAATCTGGTTGTAAGATAATAGAGTCGTTCAAGTGTAATAAAATGGAAATAAAGAATCGACTTTGCCCTTTATTCTAATCAAATAAACGGCGATGTCTAAGAGGTTCGCAAAGATGGAGCAATCAATCAGTGACGGGCGCAGTGCCAATAAGCTCCGGAGTTTTCTATTAACAAGATTACTTCTCTCAGAATTCGGGAGTTTAAATGGCCGTGCGATTTGAATTCCGTTTTCCTGGACAGCTCAGAATAACAGAGATTAAAATGTCATGATTTGGCGATAATATTCGAAATATGCGTGCACAAGAGCTCACCGGTTGTCAAAATACGATACTGGAAGCCTGGTGTTTCTATTCGGTCGGCAGCGAAAAAAGAAATGAAAAAAGATGTGATGCGCAACGAGAGATAAAGAATCGTTCGTGTCGATGAGACACACCTATCCTGCGCATCCCAGACACATCGTCTCTTTTAAATCTGATACCCTTGAGCGTGTTTTAAGTAAACTAATACCTATCGGTTTTATCATGAGCGAAAGGAGGATGACCAACCCTGAGAATGGGTCGGGAAAAAAAATGGGATGTAAAGCACCGTGTCGGATAAAACGGGCGGCCTTGCACGTAACGTAGGGGGTAGTTTACTACGAGCGTGTTAATTAAACAAAAAGCTACCCTGTATACCAAGCTAATTAGAGAGTGGCTCTCTTGCCCGCTCGCGCATTCTTCCCTTCAAAAATATTTTCCGGCATGTTTGTTCGTGCTTTCGAGCCTTTTCTTCCGTCTCCACTTTCTCTTCATCCTTCTTCTGTCGCTTTTGCATATAGACCTCGCTGTTACTGCCATTTTTTCTGCTCTTTTCATCTAGCATTCTTTATCCTTTTCCTTCGCGAGACTTTATGGGCGCCAGTCTCAGTTTTCGTGTATGTCAGCGCCAGTACGATAAATGCGTGGTAAACAAATCTATAGATTGAAAACGGAGTAAAACGCGGAGAAATAGAGAGAGAGAGAGAGAGAGAGAGAGAGAGAGAGAGAGAGAGAGAGAGAGAGAGAGTAAAAAAGTAAAAAAAGAGAGTGATGTAAAGAGAGTGATGTAAAGATAGAATTAAAAAAGAAAAAATACTGATCAACAGTTTCCAATTATGATATAAAAATACATTACAAATAGAATGAAAAAAAAAATAGTTGACGGTATTGCAAGTAAACATAATAAAATTGCGTGTTACAAAGAGAAGTATAAAAAAGTGTTAAAAAATATATTTTGAACTCTTATAAAAGACGCAAAATATATTTTTCAATTGCAATCTGCGTTTACAGCTTGGCAAACTTTAACGTAAGAGTCATTCTTCATGGATTTATTATCGATGGCCCAAACGAGGCCTAAAAATGCGAAAGTATTAATCAAGTGATTAATATTACATTTGTCCAAATTCCCCCCGAGATCTCCGTTTTATTAAAATGCACCGTTTAAGAGATGACAAGATAAATCGCAAAAAGTCGCCTATGCTATTAATCAACGAGAGATTTCCGTTTACCGTGCCAGTTTCACGACTCGGAACCGTCGAAGCGGGCGAGATATATCGGCCTAAGCGGCCCGGGGCGCCTAATTGAAAATAGGTGCTTTAACCTAAATGCGCTGTACAACGGGTGCGTTTCACTCGATTTAAGTACTCGGTTTGGCGGCGGTCGCAGATTTAGGCATGGTGTGAACGGAGTAACCATGATTAGAATCCGCTAACGCGGCCGCAAACAAACACACGAAGCAGCCGTTCGTCGAGCCTGCGCCTGTCGAGATGCGAGGAGGAACAGAGGAACAGAGAGAGAAATGGCCGGTGAGAGAATCAGTTGGAGTGAAACAACTGCGATCGGATTAGTGGCGGACATTGGCAACACTTTCGGGTGATTAGGCTGATACCACCATTGATCCTAAGTCTGCATTTACAACCAAATATCAGCTCTATATAAAGTACGCAATCCGCCCGCGCCGCTGACAATTCGCGGCTATGTGAACGGTGGGAATCACACCGTTCAGTCCTTCACCTCCGAAAATGTTCTCCTAGCACGTACAACATTGTACAAATATTTATTCACTATGGTCACCCATCTTGTTCTCCTAAGAGAATTTCTTCTTAGACATGCGTTAAAGGCGATGAAATTACATGCTGTTGATTCTCTGCTATGGAATTTTCTTTTCTTTCTGTATGTTGTGTTTATACTGTTGATAATAAGTCTACATACATATATGCATATACAATACTTTGTGAATACTTGGAAATACTATAATAATATACTATATAATGAGAATAAAAATGTTAATACTATCTATATGTAGATTTTTTTCTTTTTGACTATTATAAAAGAACTTTTTCTGATATTATTATGTAATGAAAATATCTTGAAATATATGGACGAAACTTCTCTGAAAATTTTCTTGATATTTTTGTTTAAATTTTCAAGCAAAATTAGGATATTAGATTAAAATTTTGAATTTGAATATATAAAATTTTAAGTTTCTTTTTCTTCTAAAATTTCTTTTATCTTTTTATGTTTGTCAAATCAAGAAAAGAAAATTAAGAGTTACTCATTTTAAATATCAGATTTGAAAAGGTACTTGAGAATTTTCATAAAATAATTATTTTAATAAATGTCATACTAAAACATTGAAAAGAATTTCTTTAAAACAAAATTAAATTTATCTAGAAAATTGAACAAATTTCATTTAACAATTTCAAAATTTATGTAATATTTTAATATTTGTAAAAAATATTTTTTAAGAAATTATTTCGACAAAAAGAGAGAATTCTCTAGTTTTTATAGATAGAAAAATATATCCTTGGTTTTGTGGAATTCCGAGTTTTTTCAAATGATAGATTTTTACTAAATTTGGTTTTTTTTTTACAAATTATAAATTATAATATAAATAATAATATATAAATTATAGTAAATAATAAACAGGCACATGGTATACTTATGTGTACAGCATAATAGAAAAGCTTCTCTTGAGCGTTAAAGCGAAAATAAGAAGTGATTCGATGCTCTTTGACGCTTGATATACTATATAATCGCAAATGAATCCATGGCATTCAGAGACAAAAGAGATGGGCTGTGAGAGAGCAGGAGTGCGTAATCCCTCGGAGCTCGGAAGAAAAATAGCGACGCGACTGCGGGACGGGTAGGTGAGAAAGAACGAAGCGGAAGGATGGTACGGCACGGAGCGGAACGCTCTGTCCGCTCTGTCGCAGTGCCGTATATTCCGCCGCCGCGCCGGTGCGGTTGTACACGCGACGCCACTTTAACCCAGAGTCGTTCCAACACCCTTTGTCCCGCACCAACCCCCCGCGTCCCACTCTGTCGCTCTTTGTCGTCCGAGTAAACTATATAGACATGGACCTACGAACCAGTGTATTTCGGTACAGAGATACTAGACCTCGGTAGATGGTGTTTTCCTCTTCATATTCTCGTCCTCCTTTCGCCTTCCTAGTCCCCAATAGAGATCGGTAAGAGGGAGAAGAAATGGACAGATGGCGAGACAGAGGAAAAGAAAGAGAGAAAGAGAGAAATAAGAAGGAGAGACTGTCTCGTCTTCTTTTTGTTCTTCATTCTCATTTGAGACTTCTCTCTCGGAGGGGGGAACGAATGATAGTGATTCCTGTGCCAAGAGCTACTCGTTCGGGCCAAGCACAACTTGGCTGAGGCACAATCGAGTGAAAGTCGCGTCGCGTCTTTCGCCAAGGGGTGGCTTCCGGAGCGCACGTGAGGTCTACCTTCTCTAGAAGGGAGAGAAAAAGAAAGAGAAAAAAAAAACACTTAACTCGAACGGAGTGAAAGTCGGAGGAACAGTAGAAAATAAGGACAAATTGACTGTCTCGAGATGGATGGAACGAAGAATTCACTTCGGTGCGGATTGCGTGGCACGGAGAATAGTGGTGGTGAGAATACGGTGACTGAGTGCTGATCTTAGATTGTGGACGGGATGAGACTTACGAGGAACAGACGGTCGCTACTCAGAGCTGCATTACGAGATAAATGTTCGCGCGGTAGGTAAGTCGCGAACGAATGATAAGCCGATAAGCGACGCGATTAATCGCGGTGTGACGATTGCGATTGGAGAAACGATTGAATTGGCCATTTCGAAGAGAATGGTAATAACGTTGACGCTAATGATCGTAATTATTCGTAATTATAATAATTCATTTATCAAAAATGAACAACTTAAACTCCTCATTTAATTAAGAGATGCTATTAATAGTTTAATACTTTGATCGAAGAGGAGTAAATTAATATAATAAATGTACCGAAAGATTTAGGGCGTTAATCGAAGTATATATCTACATCTGATTATTGCGTTGATTAATATCTCGTAACGTCATGATACCGCAACAGATGTCAAAGCTCACGATAGCTAGCGATATAATCGGTGTGATGAAATCATCCACGAGATCGACCAACAGTCAAACGCGCTCGACAATCATTTACTTTAACTGATCGATCAAATCGATTTCCAACTTCGTTAACCCATCATAATGGATATATTGCGCATGCCGCAATATATGTGCATGTATAATTAGACGTAGTTTTAAATCGACATCGTTCATCGAGTGGCGGCGTAACGATCGGGCGGACGGGCCAGCCGCTATAGGGAGCATACTTTCGTTTTGGTTCCAGAACTGTTCAATTTCCGCGGGTTGATTGAAATGAAATAATCATTATTGTTCGTACCATGATCATCTACGATACGCGGTTCCATCGCGCGCCGCAACGGCCTGGTATTTATAATGACCATTGTTTCCGAATGTATACGAATGTATACGAATTTCCATAACTGGTAATTCGATTGTCGCGGTGTAACCACGTTTACAATTTGCGCGGGAATAACATTTCCCGGATATTCCAGCGTATTTCTGTGACTAACTGTTCGGCGAAAGAAAAAACGAGAGAAAAACGAAAAAGGGAAGAATCTCTATTGGCATGAGACGAGAGAGAAGCTTGCGATTTCCTCGAACGTGATTATATGGTAAAGGGACTTGCTTCGATCGCGCGTGTTTTCACCTTGATAATCGTATCGATAACGATCGGTGAACACGCCGCTCCATCTGAAACGTAATTGCATCACCGATAACGCACAGCCGCCCCCGCGCTTTAATATTTGCTTTCCGGCGAGCGGGACGATAACCCGAAGGGGTATCCGTGTATCTGCGCGTAATGAAGGAATTTATGACGCGAATTGCTCAATGAAAATATACTGCTATCGCCTCGCGGCGGTCAGATATGCCCTTTTGCTCTTCCTCTGTCTCTCGTGTATCGATATGGCCTTTTTTTCTTTCATTGCCGCGTTTTAATCGACATAAATTCTAATTACGTTGCCGCGCGATGCGTTTTCTCGAAATCCCTTGGATTCCATTTGTTGTCCGAGTTGTTACACGCTCTCGCAATATGTTGCTTGCGAATTAATTCGCCCTGCCTGACATTTTGGCATCGTTGCCGTCGTCATAACCGAACGTTGTTTCACATGACCGATTTATTAACGGTCGACGCATGTGTTCACGGGAAGGGAACTTTCGTTTCCAAGAATATTATTTTGCGAACGACGACTATGACGACGACGACTTGTTTGTCGACTTGGGTGTCATTCTGACAGAATTAAGCGCCGCGCATTTACGAATATGTGGCAAATACAATAAGATGGCACCCGGACACCCGAGAATCCAGAGATGTCGGCACGATGAACGACGATCCGTCCGGTTGATCGAGGTTAATCTCTCGAGTATCAACAGCTGTCTGACATAATATAAACTTGACTTGGGAGGCAGACAGCTTCAAAGGTTTCTTCTATTATTTTAACCTTTAAGTATGTAGGTAATTTAAGGGTATGCAAGTTGGGATGCTCAAAATAATTCCAAGAAATTTTAATTTTATAATTATAAGTGATTGATTGATAGCAAAGGGAACTTGTAAATTCGAAGACCATTTTTTCGCCGAGAAAGACTCTAAAGTGAGTTGAAACGTTCGAACATTATTATTAAGTGAAATTAGACTTATTATTGTAAATAATTTTACACTCTGTTTACTGCACCACATTTTCAATAATCTTATTCTATTATTTTTTCTCAATTTCGAGAGTGTCTAAGATTATTCTATCTTTTTACTTATAATCATATTTTTTACTAGTATAAGTTAAATTTTAGTTATAAGATACAACATTGTAAAAATAATAAACTTTAAGATTTATAAGCTTTTCATTTTTCTTATCCTGAAGATCGAAAAAAACTAAATATCTAATAAAGCTCTAGGTTACCTCATTTATCTATTTAAAGATTAATGACAATTTTTTTATTCTTAATTCAAAACGTCAAAAGACTATGAAAAAATGTGTATACTTTTAACCGTTTATAAGCTATTTTTTTCATCCTATCTTTATGATTGCATAATATATTTTACGTAGAATCTCCTTTTGGTTCGTTTAAATGAATCTTTCTTTTTACGTCGCCACAATTCTGCATTTCCAGTCCGCAGTTATTGTTGTGTAGGAGAATACGCGGATAAAATTTACAAGATTCTTTTGCTCCCTTTTCCTTGCTAGTTATGGACCGCGAGAATCGGGGTCTTCATTACGCGTCTCATTCTTTGTTGCAGACCGGAAACAGTTACAAATCGCCAGAGGAATCGCCGCACACGGAGCACGGCAGACTGAGGTGAGTGAAAACAAACCGCGCGCCGTCGGGCCATTGCAACCGCGCAACAAAGCCGAAGAAATAACAAATGCAACTCCAGCGAGGTTATTACCGAGGGAAACAGGCACTTGGATAAAAATGCGAATTGGTCTCGGCGACGCGGACGGTAGATTTTACTATCACGATAATCAAAATGCCTTTAGAAAGAGTGATTCGTGCTTTTCAAATTACTAATTCCGTAATTTTCCCGGACACATATTTACAAAACGCCAGATGCATAGAAATTGATGATTAATCCGTAATTATCTCGAATCATAAATAGAAAGAGGGCAAGAATTAATGTATCGGATATAACAAATTTTCCGCATCGTTTCTCTAAGTTCAGTAATTAACCGCGAAATATATGGCAAGTATAGGACATTGCTAAGACTGTTTGACGTAATTCCGAATGCAAGTGAATCGCGCCAAGAGTCCGACAGCGAAAGATAAATTTCAGAGTCCTCTTTCCTCGACCGTCCAATATACGATTTGTGACGCGTATCGTTCGTAAGTTGCGCACGAAGTCAACACTAAAACTGCTGGGCGAATTCTTGCGATACTTGAGACATTGCCAGGTCGACGTCGTGCAAAATATGCTTTGCAAAAACGAAAACTAAGACATATGACGCGAGATGAGATGGTGGCCTGACGTGGCACAGATCGACTTCTAATGCGGGCCCCAGTCGCTATCGTTAATCCTGACGGTGATTACAGGATGCGATCATTCTTCCAAACGACGTTATTAAATATCAGAACGATCGCGAAACTTACGTGATTAAACGATCCATCATTTATTTAACAACGTTTAAATGGCAACCGATCGCTGGAACAGTCTGCTCTCGACGATAGTAAAATTTAATACGGAATATAAATCAGGCGACGATTTTTAAAAATCTTTTTTAAATACAATTATTAAATAACTCAAGAATAATCACATAATATTAATATTACAAACATGAAAATATTAAATAATATGAAAATATTCAATCCCCGAAATCGAAATTTAAAATGGTGTTCCATAAAAACGGTGGATAGAAACAGTAACACCGCTTTCGCGCACGTTTTGTTAGTGTAGGTAGGAAGGATTTTACCGGACTAAGGAAATCTCATCCGCTATATCGATACCTTGTGATGGCCGGTATATTCACGTCTCGTAACTGTGATACCCATTCCTTCGGCTGTTCTAAAAATGCGGTATCCTAGTATCGTTTTGCACCACCATCCGCTGCGCCGGCTCGACATGCACGCTCTACATTCGAGTCGAAATTCATTAAATTCATCAAATTCCGAAAAGTATTCTATCACGTTAAAAATGTCCTCGTACGAATTTAATGCGTTTATATCCTCCGATTTTTTCTTGATTCTAAAAAAGCGGTGTATTTTAATTTAAATCAATTTTGTCTATATTTATATGTATATACGAAGATTTTATTCTATTAATGATAAAATAGTTTTTAAAGCAATAAAATATTTGAAAGTGTTAAGGATATTACATATTAAGAATATATTATATATATTGTATCGAGAAATTTGTCAAATGATATATAAGATATACAAATTTTTAAAGAACTGTCCACTATAAAATTTACCGCGGCCGAATTCGATTTATTTCGTACGAAGAGGAGAAGCATGGCAATTGCCGAATATTCATGCGTCTGGCATGCAATTTTTCCTTTTTTTTTATTATGTACCGGTCGAAAAAGTTAGCCAGCCGAATGAACAATCAGTCGGCAAGATCTAAAATCAATTGACAGCCTGTCGCACGTGCGACGCGCTTTTTTCCATCGCCATATTATGTGATGCTAGAATTGATCCAATTCGAAATCGAGCTAACACATTAAATCTGCCTCGTTCGACTGAAATGCGCATCCATCTTGCGTTACGAGCGACGGCGCTATTTCCCCGCTCGATTGCGATACTTTTAATGGAGAATCGGAGCGTTTCGTGTCGGCGGTAATGTAACTTCGACGGAAGCCGGAGCAAACGGGAACGATTATCTTTCATTACACCTGCGATTCCCAGGTACAATGTGTTCCAATTAATTGGCTTGAATGAGGGACGCGGAGATAACGGATAACGTGCATATCAATGATGGATATATCGCACTTTTTTATGGTTACAGGTTTCCGCCAATTGATATTAGCGTCAATTTTTTGATTAATAAAAGTATGGCATGATACTGAAAAAGAAACTAAAAAAAGCAATGTTCATCGAATGGCAATAAAAAGATAAACATATCGTTATAATTTACTTTTTGTTCTCAGATTCTATAAAATTTAAGTGATAGCGAATAAGAGAGGAAAAGAGAGATAATCGTATCTATTAATTCACTGGGAAGTAAATTATGCGGGGCATATTGATAGAATTCCGTATGACGAGTGTCTCTCCATATAGGTTCAAGATAATGTCTTTCAGAATATGTGATTTATAATTTTGAATTGGATTGACATTTGACGGAGTGGCTTTTATAGATCATAGACGACGTCGTTAATGGCGCTTGTGGCCGTAAGAGCTGAAGAATCAATATTGTTCAAGTTCGTCGTATTGAGGAGGATAGTAAAACTTTTACGTTCAAATTTAAGGAGAAAGAAACCACTGTTATCAGGTATGCGATAAAATACCACAGCGGTAGTTCGCAATCGTCTATTACGTCGTCGACCAGGTGATAAATGAATGAATAGAAGAACCTTACAAGACTCTGCAATTCTTGTCTCTACCAGCTTTTTCGCACGAAAACCTCTCGTTCGTTTCTTCGTTTTTATACATAAATTCGATGCGATGGAGTTAATTGATCGATCGCTAACGTATTCTCTCTCAATATAGGGCGAGCTTTAAAATCTCCGATATTTGCGCAAGAATATTTCTCATGGAAACGAGCAACGGAATAAACGAGAAAAAATGTTTAATAACACTGTTCAATAACTAAATTTTGTCCAAAGTGCGATAGTATATTTCTGTAAGATTTTTTTCGTGTTAAACGTGTTGTTGGTAAAATTAATGTAGCAAGATTTTGAATACATTAAAGTGATTAAAATGAAATGGATAAAAAGTGGCGCTTTTGACCATTTTCAACATTTTTTTACGATGAAACAAAATATTATTTCTAAATAAAGTCTAGGATGTCTAAAAATACAATTATAAAAATACAAAAGAACTTTTAAATAAATTTTAGTTTATGATTGTATGATTTATTTTCAAGTTATGACTGGTCGAATTTTAAACTTTCTGTATATATAATTAATATATATAATTAAACAAAGTTCTCAACAAAAATTATTTTTCTTTTTCTTTATATTGTACTATAAAGTGCCACAGTACAATATACACACCGAATATTTTTTCGCGCTGAACACAATTCCATCGTTAGAATTTGCATATCAGGATTTTTAGTAAATTGGGAAAGTAACGAAGTAAACAAAAAACATCTAATTTACTAAAATCCTTATGTGTTACACAAATTCTGAGGACGGCGTTCAATGCGAATAAATCTTTGGAATATATACCTACTATAACATTTCGAAGTTTATTAAACAATAATTATATAGAAATTTTAAGATTCAAACAGCCAATTTGATAAAAATAAATTATATGATCATGAAATAAAATTCATTTAAAAGTTCTTGAGTTTTATGAGCGGTAGACTTTAATTTAAACTTTCTAAATAAAACTTTATTTAGAAACAAAGTTTTATTTTATCATAAAAAAATGTTAAAAATGGTCAAAAATGCTATTTTATTTCAATTAATTCGAAAAATCTTAGGAAAATGTACTATTGTACTTCAGAGAGAATAAAAAATGTTTCTTTGTCGAATAGTGAAATTATTTGTCGTGGAAAGATTTTTGAATCTTCATAATATCTTTATAATATAGACAATTAAAGGCAGAAATATTTGGTTTGCGAGGATATTTGGTTATTTCTCTCTGATTTTTGATTGCAAGTTATTATAATTTAACAATCGTGGTGTTGCTCGGTCGGGGCTGTTTAGGCATATCTACTTACCTACCCGCCGCGTTATCAAACCTCCACATTCGCGGGGGCGTGTGAATCGTCCGTAACTTTGCATCAACCGCGTTCATATCTACGCGCTTATACCTACATTCTGACGAGAGAGAGGGGAAAGGGGGGAAGCTTGAAATGTGCGAGGCGTGAAATGCCAACTAGTGCAACAACCATCCGCGAGTCACAAGGTGCGAGCGTGTCAAATTCGCGGGCCATATTGCGGTATTGCGGCCAAAGGCGTCGCACGCCGTCAGCGCTTATGTCTGTTCGTTATATATAAATCTCTCGTTTGTATTCAATCCGCTGACGCTTATTTTATGACAGCGCACACGATGCGATTTCCCGATAATCCCAGTCACTCGTACCCTCGCACGCGGCTGACGGATAATCCCTTAAGTGCTGCACAATTTTCTCACACCTTGTAAACCCTGTGTATCACGAGATTTTTATCTGTCGTATAGATATGAGAGTACAAATATGATGTGAATATCATATCACTTTCGAACGATTTGAATTGAATTCGAATATTGAATCTCTCAGAACACGCGATTGAATATGATTGCGTGTCATCTATATTATAATTTCATAAAAGAAGATAAAAGTTATTTAAAAATTAAAAAATTGTTTTTATCTTTTATGAAATAGTAAAAATAAAATATTTTATCAGTTTTTTCTTTTTAAAACCGGTTTTATATATATATATGAAAACGGCCAAATGTTGCTCAAATTTAGCGATGCCAAAGTTAACACATCGCGAGAGAATTTGCAGATGAGAAAATACGCCTAGCGACCACTCTTTCAAAGTTATAGTCGCTCCACGCCAATGTACGTAATTGGCTGCCGACGCCACGAACTTTTAATTGGTTCGAGCCGTACGTCCGTTTTGGTATCGGTCCGATGATTTTTCATCCTCATTCGGTTGGAAATCGGCGTCAAAAATAAGTGATGTGCCGCAGTGGGTCGATCCTTGCAATGAGATCAA